TCTTCTCGTTATTTTCCTCTTTGTCCTCATTCGTCTACAGTTTTCTTTCCCTCTATACAATTCTTATTTTTACTTTAGTCTATTGTTTTCCTTCCCCCTATGCAATTCCCTTTTTTATTCTATTTCATTACTTTTTTACCTTGTCTATTTTTTTTTCTCCTTTTAACCTTTTATCTTCTGCTATTATTTTTGTATTTTTTCTCTCTCTCGCGTTTCGTTATTTTATTCCAGTTTCACCAATTTCCCTATTTTTCATTTCTTCACCTCGACTTCCTTCCGTATGTCTTCCTGTGGAAAAGAGATTATCGCCCTTTCTTCCTATCCTTCTTTTTATTTTATTTTATTCTTTTATTTAGTTCTGTTTTGCTTCTCTCGTTTCTTATAATCTTCCCTCGCTCTCTCTTCTCGCTCTCTTCTTATCCTTCACTGTCACATCCCCTTCTCTTCCCTCCTTCTTTCTTTTTCTCTTTCTTTTCTCCCTCACTGTCGTATCCCCTTCTCTTCCCTTATTCTTCCCTGTTCTTTAACTCTCCATTTCTTTCTTTCCTTCTCTTATTTCCCTCATTATCCACTATCACTCCTCCTTTTCCTCCCACCTTCATCCTCTACCTCTCTTCTTCTTTTCTCTTCCTCTCTTCCCTCTCCATTTCTTTCTCTCCATCTCTTCGTCACCCTCAATGTCATATCTCCTCTTACCTCATTCTTTCCCTCTCTTCTTCCTTCCCTTCTTGTTCTCCCTCTCTTTCCTCTCCCTTTCTTTCTTTCCCTCTCTTCCCTCTCTTTTTTATTTCTCCGTCACTCTCGTATTCACGTCTCTTTCCTCTCCCTCATCCTCTTTTCTCTCCCCCTTTCTTTCTCATCCCTCTCCATTTCTTACACTCTCTCTTATCCCTATCCTCATCATACTCTCCCTCTCCCTTACTATCTCTCCCTCCCTTTCTTTCTTCCTCTCTCTTCCCACTCCATTTCTTACTCTCCCTCTATTGCTCCTCCCTTTCTATCTCTCCCTCTCTTACTGTCTTTCTCTCCCTCTCTTCCCACTCCATTTCTTACATTTTTCTCTCTCCCTCTGTTCCCCTTCCCTTTCTATCTCTCCCTCTGTTCTCCTTTCCTTTCTCTCCTTCTCTTCCCCTCCTTTTCTTACTCTCCCTTTGTTCCCACTCCATTTCTTACCCTCCCTCTGTTCCCCTCCTTTTCTTTCTCTCCCTCTCTTCCCACTCCATTTCTTACTCTCCCTCTCTGTTCCCCCTCCCTTTCTTACTCTCCCTCTGTTCCCCTCCCTTTCTATCTCTCCCTCTGTTCCCACTCCATTTCTTACTCTCCCTCTGTTCCCCCTCCCTTTCTATCTCTCCCTCTGTTCCCCCTCCCTTTCTATCTCTCCTTCTCTTCCCCTCCTTTTCTTACTCTCCCTCTGTTCCGCTTCCCTTTCTATCTCTCCCTCTGTTCCCCTCCTTTTCTTTCTCTCCCTCTCTTCCCACTCCATTTCTTACTCTCCCTCTGTCCCCCCTCCCTTTCTATCTCTCCTTCTCTTCCCCCTCCCTTTCTATCTCTCCCTCTGTTCCCACTCCATTTCTTACTCTCCCTCTGTCCCCCCTCCCTTTCTATCTCTCCCTCTCTTCCCCCTCCCTTTCTATCTCTCCCTCTGTTCCCCTCCTTTTCTCTCTCTCTCCTACCTTCCGCTTTCGTCCCGTTTTCTCTCCACTGAACTTATCTGATTCCCTAAAGCGTGGGAACCTTTGATGACCTTCTCTAAAACACCCGCCGTAAAGAAGTGCCTCGGGGTGTGTTCTGGTGCTTCCTGCTTCGTCATGTACATAGATTTTGTATGTATTTTGTACACAAATATACTTACATGAACTTATATGTAGAGAGATACGTGTCGTATACATATTTATGAATACAGAGGCATACAAGCGTATAAACATATACATACATATAGACACAGAATTACTTTTATACACATAAAACACACACACACACACTGCCTCCCCCCACAAACACACACACACACACACAAACACACACACACACACAAACACACACACACACACACAAACACACACACACACACACACAAACACACACACACACGCAGTGCCCCCCCCCCACACACAAACACACGCAAACACACACACAAACACACACACACACACGTACACACTCTCATCCTCAGGGGAACACTTATCCAAGAAGAGTAAAAGGCAGCGCCAGTGATCCGAGAAAACAAGGCAAATGTAATCCATCCACACGCATCCGACAAGAAGAAAAACTATAGTCCGCACTGGGCTGGTTCTCGGGATTTGATCTTAATGTATGTACACTGTGTATATGTGCATCGATATACTATGTATATCTATGCACATATACATATATACATATGTAGATATATACATATATATACACACAGGTGGATAAGTAAATAAATAGAGATATATAAAGAGATTGGTAGATAGATAGATAGATAGTTAGATAGATAGATAGATAAATAGACAAGTAAATACAGATAAATAAATGAATAGATAGATAGACAAATAAAAGAAATGATAAATGAACAAGTAATAAATAAATGGAGGGATTGCCATATATAGAAATAGATAAATAAATAAAGATGGACAAATAAATACACACACTCACAAGCAGATTGATGAATGAATAGGCGACTGACAGATAGTTTGTTGAAAGTACCGTTGCCATTGTTCGTTTTTATTTATTCATTTCTTATCGTGGTTGTTTTGTTTTTCCTCGTTATCTTCTGTTTATTTTATTCTTTTAGATATTCGTTTTTTCTTCACATTTGTGAAATATTTGAAAATAAATCTATCTGTCTATTCTCTCTCTCTCTCTCTCTCTCTCTCTCTCTCTCTCTCTCTCTCTCTCTCTCTCTCTCTCTCTCTCTCTCTCTCTCTCTCTCTCTCTCTCTCTCTGTCTAGTTCTATCTATCTATCTTCCAATCACTCTATCTATCTCTATCTATATATCTATCTATATCTTAATAGTTCTGAAAGATATATTAACTAGATTTACGCACCTTCTCTGGTTCACTTAACACTTCAGGACTGACTCCACGTTACCTGCAAGAGAAACAAATATATTAAGAGAAAATATTAAAGTAAAATGGGTTTACATAAATCTATATGGACTTGTATGATTAAATTGCCAAACTAAATATGATTTAAGAAATAAAATCAAATTATTAAGCTGGATTCCTGGAACACGAATGTTTGCTTTTCGTTTTCTTTTCTATTTTCTTTGTCTCTCCCCTTTCTTTACCTTTTTTTTCTTCTTCTTTTCCTTCGTACCATATACTTATTCTTGTCGCTCTACATTCTTCTCACTTTCCTTATTCCTTTCTCTTTTCCTTTTTTTCTCTTTTTACCTCCTACCATTCATCTTATTTACTTTCTTCTATCTTTCCTACTTTTATCGTTTCGTCTTTTATCTCCTTCTCTTCCCTCATGTTTATCTGATTATTTTCCTCTGTCTTTTCGCTTTTCATCCACTTTCTCCCTCTTTTCCCGTTTACCATTTCGTCGTTTATATTTGATTTGCTTTCTTCCCTCTTCCTCGTTTATCCTCGGGCCGTCTCTGTCATCGGTTTGCTTACTGCCGCTTCTTTAAGTCTGCTTCAACTCCTTTGTGCTCTTTTTACTGCGATGCAAATGATGCTTTGTTTTTATTGCTTACTTAACAATTCTGCTAGTTTGTCGGTCTCTTTCTCTTTTTCCTTTGGACACACACACACACACACATATTTATATACATACACACACACACACACACACACACACACACACACACATATATATACTACACACACACACACACACACACACACACACACACACACACACACACACACACACACACACACATATATATATATATATATATATATATATATATATATATATATATATATATATATATATATATATATATATATATATATATATATATATATATATATATATATATATATATATATATATATATATTATATATACACATATAAATATACGTATAGGTGTAAATGTGTATACACATACACACTCACACACACACATATATGTATATATATGTATGTATATGTATATATATGTATAAATATGTATATATATACGTATATATACATATTTCCTTCTGATATGTATCGTAGGTAAGCGCTCAACTCGCTGAAGATGGCAGTGGCAGCACTACTACCATGCCAGTCGTCATGAAATAAATATCGTTATAAATAATATGCTCGTCAGCAGGAAAGGAAATAGTCCGCGAGGAAGGAATTACGAAACGCGTAGCCTCGCAAATGCAAAAGCGCGCAATTAATCTCGTACACGCACCGCGCTGTTCAGCCAAGCGCGCGAGACGAGGGAAACGAAGCGAGGCCCGTTCGCGTAAGGGACGGCGTGCGCGCGGATTCAGATATTCCGTTCGCACGAGGGTAATCGTTCGTGAGCGGCGATAGCGAATGCGACTTACGGCTCAGCCACAAATCATATCGCTCGCCAAAGAAAACTGTCTTGGCTGGTGATCTGGTGATGGGAGGAGTTGAGAAATGGGAAAGGAAAGAGAGAGAGAGAGAGAGAGAGAAAGAGAGAGAGAGAGAGAGAGAGAGAGAGAGAGAGAGAGAGAGAGAGAGAGAGAGAGAGAGAGAGAGAGAGAGAGAGAGAGAGAGAGAGGAAGAGATGAAAAAAAAAGAAGAATTGTGAAGTTTTAGCTGTAAGGTGTGACGCGTGAAGTGTGAGGTGATCCCGCATGTCGAGGAAGTGTGCAGCTTCAACAAAGGAAGATCGGATGCAGGCAGGGAAATGACTTAAGTTTATGTTAACACTTATATTGGATGAAACCAGTATCGTGCATGGCATTTTCATGGTTAGAAAGAAGAGTGCCGTTTGACAAATTTATTGGTTCTTTTACATATGACGAATTCACGTAATCATTTACACTTGGATTTGATGAAAATTGCAATGTGCGATATATTTAATGATTAGTAAAAGGTGTGCTGTTTGAAAAAATTATTGGTTCTTTAACATAATGATGGATTCCCTTAATTATCATAATGGTAATTACTGGTAGCTATTACCAGTGGAATATACATAAAGTATTTTTGTCATCTGGCGTCTAAAACATATGTATATTCACACACAAAATAATAAATTGGATAAACAAAAGAAAAAAATAGAATCAAATGCAATAACTTAATGAAATGACATTACACCGCATGTTTGTGAATTAATCCACTGTTGATTTGATAAGGGAAAAGGGAAATCAAAATAATGGTAGATAAAATTACATCAATGCTGTAATACGTCACGCACAGAGCCCATGGCACCCGGCAAGCTTGTAGTCGCCGTGGCAACTGAACTCGATGTCACTAGTCGCTGCTATTACAAATTCATCGACAGGTAGCCCCGGACTACAACAAATAACAAGAAAACCAGGCTATTCCTTCCCCTCTTGTCTTTGCTCTTGCTTAGAAACCTGCAGGTGAGAGAAAGTTTTGCATCAGGATACGTGGAAAGTCAAAGGTGGGTGCTGTTTACAAGCTCATTATGATCCTATGGTAATATCCTGTTGAGAAATCCTTTGTCACGTGACTACCCCATTGTTGTCCGAGTCTCGTTATCCTGTCCTCTTGTTTGCCCGCCTCTTCGCTGCGCTTTCATTTGGCGCTGCTCTTTTGTTATGATTTTTTGGAAATTTTCTTTCTCTTGGTAGCTGTCTTGGATGTCCCCTTGCTGGTTTTTTTTCTCCCTCTCTTTCGCTTTCTTCACTCCTATCTCTGCTTGCTTGCCTCACTTCCTGTCTGAATGTCTGTTTGTCTGTCTGTCTGTCTGTCTGTCTCTCTCTCTCTCTGTTTCCTCTCTCTTTCTATTCACTCTTTTCATCCATGACCCTTCACTTCTTATCGAGCAAGTTTCTCTCATTCCTTCTCCCTTCTCTCCCCTTCGTTCCAAATTCTTCGATCTCCCTCCCTCCTGCTTTCTCTCATCACTCTCGCTCAGATTCCACAAGAAATTCCCAGCTCCCCCGGAACACAACAGTCTACTTATGACTAAGTGAACAGCCTAATTGGGATGCCAAATGGGGTAGAGACTAAAGAACGTTACTAACGATTTTCAGAGCCGTGAGTGGCGTGGCACTTTATTGTCAACCCTTAAGGGAACGTGAGCCGCATACGTGTGCAAGAGATTTTCGACCTTATAGATGAAAGAGAACACATCTTTTATAGCATTTCTTATGACTAGGCATGAAATAGGTGGCATAGCTGTAAATATGTGAATCTGAGGGAAAAGGAATATTTCAGGTAGATACGTATCAAGCAAAATTATTTATTTGTCAGAACCTTTCTTAAACCGCAAAGGCCACTATGCATATAAACAAAAAAATGTGCATATACAGAAAAACACAGCCTGTAGCCACAGTGAACGACAGACATGTATGAACAACAGCTAAACAGGTCACAAGATTATTGAACACAAATATCTGATGACAAAATAACCATTGAACACAGACGGTATTAGACTATGAATATTAACAGTTATGCGCAATGGGAATCACAAGTGCCCACAAACACGGTCAATGTTGAGAAGTGTTGCACATAAAAGCAATAACGGGGGAACGTGTTAGTATGTCCAGGTAGACGGCAGGACCAGGAAATCTGTAAATTTCGCTGGTGTTCATGGGCGTAGAAAGCGTGTGGACTGTGCGCTTGCCGGTGCATGAGACATGTTTGAGATGTGTTTGGATGTGCTTGGCTATGTTTGGGCGATGTGTGGGCGGTGTATGTCGGCGGGTCAGTATATATCGAAGGGCTGGACAGCGACCTGTGTTGGCCGGGCTTCCCACGCTGCCAAGGGAATCTCCGCAGGCCTCGTGTCGGATTTGGACAGGCGAACTTTCAGTCGAGAGAAGGGCAGCGACAGGTCGTCAGGGTCCACTCCTGCAGGTGCAGCAGGAAAGACAAGTAAATGGCAAGCTACGGGGCAAAGGGGGAGGAAGGGAGGACAGTAGAGGAGGCATAAAAAGAGGAAAGGAGAGGGAAGCGAGGGTGGGAGAGCAAGGGTCATACAAGAAAAGACATCTTGCCTCACTATAACAACTTGGAAACGGAGCAAGGAGACATTCGCAGATAGGAAACGTAATAAAGTCCGCCAAGTTTAACTTACAGGGATGTAAATATAAAACGGAAGGCTGAAGCAAAAGAGGAGCTGAATGAAATGGAGAAAGAAAGGAGGAATGACGAGAAGAAAGGAAGAAGTGAAAGAAAAAAAAGGAGAAGGGAGTGTATGTGATAAGCGGGGCGAGAACCGAGAAAGAGGGACACGAAAGACGGAGCAAGAAAAGAACAGAGAATAGAATAAAGCCAAAGAACGCAGAAGAAAGGAAAGGGAAGGAAGCAAATGCTGATAAAAGGAACAATGAGAACGAACCAGTGTAGCGATATGACACAATGCAAAATTAAGATTAGAATTCAGATGTTTTGCGCCATTTGCTATAAAG